CATAAACCAAAAACTAGTTTGGTTGATGCTTATCTTTGCCTTCACCAGACGATGGTCGCTTCCAGTATTAAATCTGTTCAATACCTCGACGTTTTGTACTATTTGGATGTTCTTCGTTAGAATATAGTCGATTTGGTTGAAAGTTCTCCCGTCTGGGCTTGCCCAGGTCCATTTGCGGTTGCGTTTTTTTTGAAAAAGGTGTTAGCGTTGTAGAGATGTTCTTCTTCCAGAAAGTCAGCCATCGTTGAGCCTCTGGAATTTCTTTTGACTTGCCCGTGTTTGCCTACATATTTTTCCGCTGGGTCTGCTTGGCCTCCAATCTTGCAGTTGAAGTCGCCGATCACTAAAACTTGTGATGTTTTATTTCTGCGCATCCCTTCCGAGATATCCTCGTAGAATTTGCTGACGTCTTCGTCTTCGGCGGTGCTTGTGGGAACATGTGCCTGAATTATCTTCAGTGTTTCCAGTTTGTTTATTTGTAACGTTTTGTATATCACTCGTTCGGATATAGCTTTGAGCATTTTCACGTTGTCTGTTAGTCTCCTGTGTATCAGTATGCCTACGCCACCAAGGCTGGAGTTTTCGTGTCCTTTGTAGTAGAGCTTATGACCTGATTTGAGCTTGGTGTAGCCTTCGCCTCTTTTCCTTGTCTCACTTATGCCAATCACGTCACGTCCCATTTGATTTTTTCTAGTTCCGCTTCTAGTTATTCAGTTCTGTCTTCCGTCGCCATTGATCTAATATTGTACGTAGTAATGTTCATCTTTGTGTGGCAGCGTGATCTCTTCCAGTTATTCTTCGCACTCTCCGCCGTTCCATTCTGGCTACAGCTGCCGTTGTAGGGAAGTTTCCGGCTGCTGGGGACTGAGGGCCTTTGGTTTTTGTTCCTACTCATTTAATATAAGGGGGGGTTTTTGGCATTTAAAACACCACGCTTGCTAAGCGGGTTGGTGAGTTAGGTTTCAGCCGCCCATTTTGGGTACAGACGCTGTTGACAGCCGCCCACTCTGGATCAGACACTGTCGGTATTCACCATATGTGGCTATCCTCAACTTAGTTTTGCCTGCAGGTCGATGCAGTTGCCCGGGGTGTGGCACGTGGAGCCATAAGTGAGGATTGGGCGTCCTGTGAGTACCAGTCATCGCTGACCACTCACTGACAATGTCTTTAAATGCGACCGTCCCTGACGAAAGGTACTACCTCTACAGCACAACCCCATTAAAATGCAATGCAACCGACCATATTTTAATATAAATACAGCTAGCGAACCCATCGTGAGGCAGGCATGCCTGGCCACGTAGCTGTATCAATCGAAGTTAGACACGGCTCAAGTCCAGTACGGAGCTATCTGATCGGAATGGGATGTGCGTATCGTTACTCTGCCCGAGTAGATTCTTCGCCTAACGACCCAAGCTTTACGCTACGATACAGAGGCATCCTAGCTACCATTGTAGTGCTGGCTTGGTTTCCCAGTTGCATCTGGTTTCCAGATTAAAATATAATCTGTGCTTAGGGGACTACAGCGAGTAAGAGTCAGGGGTGTCAGAGATTCAACGTCTCTACTCCGTCTGGGAATAAGCAGGGACTACAAATTGAAGGAACGCATCTACATGTCGTTGTTGTGTTGTGTTATTACACATTTTGTCTAACCAAAATATACTTTTAGTTAAGCAGTGCTGGTATTAAAATTGATAAAACAAATTCTTACCTCGACTAGGATTTGAAGCCAGGACCCTCGTATATCCAGTGCAATGCTCTTACCAACTGAGCTACCAAGACCTGTCTCATTTCTACCTTGTCGGTCGACTCTTTCATCAATTTTAAGTGAAGACCAACCGATAATGGATTCCAACAGCCAATTCTCTAATTTACTCCTATACCAACAGTAATCGCCGAGGGTCTCTAATTTATTGGAATGTACATTAAATCTCCTCAATGCTTTGGTAAAGAAATCTTTTCAACAAGGATTGTGTCGTTCTCAGATTGCCTCAAGACGGCTGTAATTATTCCTCTGCATATTGGTGGGAAGATGGATCAAGCTTCGAACTATCGTCTAGTAGCACTTCTTCCCAATTTATCCGAAATCATTGAGAGATTGTTTAAAAAAAGGCTTTTATCATTTCTGCATGGATATAAGTTAACTTACCAATTTTGATTTTTAACCAACAGATACACTATTAATGCTATGTTCTCCGTCTTCAGTGATATCTTCTCCAGCTTGAACTATCTGCACTCTACAGCATCACTTTTCTGTTATTGTTCTATAGCATTCGACTGTGTGAGTCATAATATCCTAATTAACAAATTGCAGTGTTGCGGAACTCGAGGCTCTCCCCTGGAATGGTTCCTGTCATATCTTAACAAAACAAAACAGCTTGTGAGGGTTAATACGACGCTGTCTTCATGCAAGCCAATAGAATGTGGAGTTCCACAGCAACCTAACGACTTGTTTGCGATTAAATCATGGAGCGTCTTTAACCCTGTTCCAACGCTGCGAAAACTGAGCTTCTGTCATAGAAGTACGTTGCAACCTATTGTACTCAATAGCACCGCTATTATAAACGACGTTGATTCTGTAAAATTTTTGGGTCCTATTATAGACATTTTCCTGAAATGAAGCTTGCACACCGGAGATTAAATTTAACTGGAATTTTTAATCATGGATTAAATTCAAAGTTGGTGTCAAATGATAGTTTATAAAAATCTAAGACAGGAATGTAAATTCGGTTGTTCTCTAACATTAACCGTTTAGGTTTTACAGCGTGTCAAAGTTACAGGAAGTCAATTTTCGACTGTCAATATTTCCAAAACAGTTGAACTTAGATATAGGGTATATCACATGAAATCTGGTCAGAATTTTACCTAGAATCCAAATATGCAATCACATACGGAGTGTCTCATTTGAAATAAGCAAGTTGACGTCTATTTTCGGTATAACCGGAAGTGCCACCATCTTGAAAATATTGTAGCCGGGCTGCCCCCATTAACATTAGTATACTGTCAAATTTTCAAAAATTTTCTGCTTACAGTTTTTCATATACACGACTGGCAAGTGAACATCTTGCATGCCAATTTTAATGCGATAGAATGAAATGTCAGAGAAAGTATAAGGTTGAATAGAGAACGAAAACGATTTCCCCTGTTCCACCTCTAGCATTCTCAGCGTTTTTTTGCTGGAGGTGGAACAGGGGAAATCGTTTTCGTTCTCCATTTAACCTTAGACTTTTTCTAAATATTTCATTCTATCGCATTAAAATTGGCATGTAAGATGTTTACTTGCCAGGCGTGTATAGATCGATTTGGTTTCTGGTGGGCCACCCTGTATATTATTATATACATCATTAACTTTTTCCATCGATTCCAAAATAATGTTCATCGGAGATAGGTAAGTTCCTGTTCCAAAATACCAAGCAACGTTATGAGTAATTAGATTGAACCGAACAAAGAAATCAACGCTTATAGAATTGCCATTTTAAATCGATAGCTGCATTAGATTGCACAATAACAATTTTATTTTATGTAAATTTTAAATAAAATAGTTTTATTATTGATTGAAGTACCTACATTTAAGTACGCATATCTAAGATCGTGACTATGCCAACCAGATTAATGGTTAAACCATTACAATTCTCCCATTTTTTAACTTGAGCAAAATCTGCAACTAATTATTAACCACAATAGATAGATATTTTCTTTTCCACAATACCTAACTGACACATTCAGGGCACCGTGATCAATAGTTTTTAATATTCGCCAAATGAATCACAAAAGCGGATTTGACAGAACAATAATTATTAAAAGTTACTCAACAGATAATTATTATTAATTCTCAATTAGATATTAAAACGTACTTAATTAGGTTTTATCAAGGATTTATGATAGGAATAGTAAATCTAGGTACGTACTCTCGGTATTGTCTGTTTGAAATATTAATTTTTTAACGTATTAAATAAACGGTTAGTTTTTAAGCCCAGAAAAAAATAAAAATAAATAACATTTATTTGCATTTAAATTTCACAATCCACGCACTCCCAAGTTTTTCCGCATATATGTATTCATTTTTCTTTAGCCACATTTCCCGCTCCGACACTGAGTGAATGTTACGTCAGAGCCAAGAGCTGTGGATCATTAATAATTTCCGTCATTCTCGGAGAGAATGGGATTTTTCTGTTAGGGAAAAGTCCTATTTATTTGAGAAATGTTAATGTCAGTAGTTCTTCTCTCAGATAATTTTTCGATTAAGGAAGTGATTTTTTCTCTCTTGATTTAGTGCCGCCTTAAAGCATTATTGATAAATGATTTGTGTGCTTAAAATTGATAGGAAAATTATAATTAGTTTTAGACATTTTAATAAGCTAAAAAAAACTATAATCATTTATTCAAGTTTTGATCATTCTTTTCTAAGAATTCGGTTCATAAAGGCTCAAAACAAAGCATTTATTGGAAGTTATCTATAGAAATAAACTGGGGAATAAAACAGCCAGCACTTTTTCATCTTTAAATAGGTAGATATACCTAAGCGTAAACGAAGTAAATTTTTTGAAATAAATTTTGATTTTCAAAATACTTCTTGTCAAGATTTGGGGAAGTTTTCTGACTGAAAATCACATCATCAATTTAAATCAACTGAGCATTGAGAGTGATGAACAATGAATTGACAGTACGCCGTGATAATCCTTACTGGTTGCCCGGATTTTGAAAAAACCAATAGCATATACGCTTCTGGCAGCAGAAATTAATCATTTAACTATCGAGAACGAACTTTTGGCAATAACATGTGCCACGAAATATTCTGGATCGTACCTTTTGGTATCGTTACCGATCCTAAACCACTTCATAATATCTATCAAGGATCAAAAAACCAGGCTCACGATTACTCAGATAAAGAATCAAACTTGTTAATAACAAAATTCGATATAAGAAATCCTACTGCTGATGCTTTTACTCATTTTGCAAGCAACTTAACAGAAGAATATTCAATAACAGACAACCCTAGTGACATGAAAGATGGGATCAACGAATACTTAGAAAGAGTTGAGGATCAAGAAGTAACAGCAGAAGAGCTAGAACTATTGAGAGAAGTTTCCAGCCCAGTAGAAATAAATCGGCAGCAAACAGGGGAAAATACGTATGACATAAAAATGATGTTAGATGTTCAAATTAGACCAACGGACACCAAAGTGCCAATGAAACAGTATGCACCATAAAAAATCGAATAGGTACTAGACATACCAATAGTCGAAACCTATTTAAATTTTTCAAAACGTCTCTTTTCTTGAACCGTAAACTATATTTTTTGTTGAAATTTTCTTGGGTATAGGTCCAAATGATGCTCGAAATGTCAGTCAGAATCCATAATGTATTTGTTTAAACGTTTCGGTCACTTTCGACCTTCATCAGTAACTACAAAAAAATAAAAATAAAAATATTTGTTAAATGTATGGTAATAAAGTTATTCAATGAGGAACAAGCTGTTATGAATATTTTTTCCTATAGACTACAATTACATAGAATTTCAAAACCTCATTAAATTTACCACTGTTTTCGATTTAAAATACTGTACATAAAAATTAAATTAGGTACATGTTAAAATTTATAATTTTTCTCGACACTTATAATAATTATATAAACAAAATTAACATTTACAAGAACAAAAGGAGTTGTTTGATAGACATCAATATGAAGACGACAAAATGAATTTTTGTTACGATTTTTAAATATACGTGTCGTCCTTTTGTTCTTGTAAATGTTAATTTTGTTAATATAATTATTATGAGTGTCCAATTTTTGGAATAAAACGAATGGTAAGTCGAAGAAAATTATAAATTTTAACATGTAATTTAATTTTTATGTACATCAGTATTTTAAATCGAAAACAGTGATAAATTTAATGAGGTTTCGAAATTCTATGTAATCGTAGTCAATAAGAATAAATATTCATAACAGCTTGTTCCTCATTAAATAACTTTATTACCATACATTTAACAAATATTTTTATTTTTATTTTTTTTGTAGTAGCTGATGAAGGTCAGTGGCGTAGCTAGGCGTCGGCGATGTCGGCGACCGCCGACGGCCTCGCGCCCTAAGGGGCCTCGCAAAAAATAGGTTACCGAACCTGAAAATTGGCACTTTTCAATTTCCCAAAATGAAACGTAGAATAAACTTAATCCTATATGAAACTTCTTTTGATATCATAGAATTCGTGCAGTATTTCGCTGTATTGTACATTCTACAATAATTTGAAAGTTTGTCCATCATTTGATTTCGTTCAGCCAACCTGCTAACATACAGAGATTCGGAAATTATTTAGGTTACCTAAAAAATTGCCTGATTTCTACCAAAAATTTTCGGTCCATGTTTGTGTAATACTGTAATAAATGAGAAATGTATTTTTTGTTGGAAGGATTTGTTAGCGGAAAAATATTGATATTTTTGACTAAATATTGTTATCGAATACCGTTGATAGGCCACAAAAAATTCTCGCCTTCGGCGGTTATCTTTCGGAGGGCTTGCCGGCGACTACCCGTTCCTGACGTTGTATCCAGCTTTTTCACAAGAGATATGGTCACTGTGCAGTGGCGGATCTATGGCACCAACCATTCTGGGGGGGGGGGGTAGAGCTTCTCAACCAGTGGCGGTTCGTGGTCTATACCTTGTTGTGAACTAGAGAATTTATTATTACTTATATTATCAATAATCCTAATATTCGCTACATTTTCTCTTCTACAAGTTCCACCATCTGTGTAATTGAGTCCCAAGTTTTATTATAACAATACTTTATGCTGTTAGGGTTTAAAGACGATGCCGGATAGAATTATTATATAACCAATGTCTTGTTCACACCAATTTCTCAAAAGTCGGTAGGTACTTCTATTGCAGAAACTCCAATTGTTGTAAATACAAAAAACTAAGTCAAATACAGCCCATGGGAAGTACTCTTGCCGCCAAAGACATAGTACATTCCCAGGCCTTTTTTATAATACAGATGGCGAGAATTACAACCCCTAGGCTAATTATTTAGGTTTATGATTGTACAAACGTTTCGTAACATTTTAGCACCTAAATAAAATATGTTGTTAGGATAAGTTAATTTTAGGAACTTGTAAAATACCCTTCTTTAGGGAGGTCCAAACTTGCCTTCCTTGGTGGAGGATAGTTGAAGACAAGGTATTCAGATTTCGAGCTTCACTCTGAACAGTCGGGTTGCCTCTCAACATTCTTAATACTAAGTGTCCCCCCTCAACGAGAATTTTAATAAATGAAACATTTTTATACAATACCGAGTTTTAATTATCGAAGTACGAGATTGGAGCGCGCGGAAAACTCCAGGTACTCAACATTCGTGGCATCGGTCCTAACAACCTGAAGGGTTCACACCCAAAGTAGGACCCAGTAGGCGATGCCCATCACCGTAGTTGCGGCCGGAAGCAGAATTTTTCCACGCTCAAAACGTATTTTAAGCCTCCAAAAAAATAATTTGTGTGTGTGTCTCTGGGGGGGGGGGGGAAATTTCCCCCATTACCCCTCCCCTCGTGGATCCGCCACTGCCCCCCTATATAAAAGGGGCCTCGCAATTCGGATGTCGCCGACGGCCTCGTTTGGATTGGCTACGCCACTGATGAAGGTCGAAAGTGACCGAAACGTTTGAAAAAATACATTATGGAATCTGACTGACATTTCGAATATTATTTGAACCTATACCCAAGAAAATTTCAACAAAGAACCTATATTAATAGTTATGCCAATCAAGCAATTTCACTAGGATGAACCAAAATAATTATTCAGGCCTATGATGTATCCTCTTCTATTATTTTAATAGCTGTGTGAAAGCTCAAGATCTATACCTACCTTCCTGTCCCTGTTTTGACGTATAGAATAAACAGTGACAGATAACCTAACTTTGCTATTAAATGGGCCAGATAATGATAAATCAAAGGATTCATCAAATCAAACATGTTTAGAACTAAACACTGATATACAGTATACGTTATACCAAATTTCAGAGAAGAAATTTCTGAAATTCTCTAGAAAATATGTATTTCCAAAACAACTACATATTCTGCTTGAACATTAAAGAAATCTGATATTTATCTTGCAGATGGAATATTCTCCCATATTATACAGGGTTGTTAAATCATTCTTCAAATAGGTTAAATACAGGGTGTCCCCGTTCAACTGGTTAAAAATGCTAGGGTATATGGAGGAACCATAGAGAAGTAGTTTGAGATAGGACACCAATGGTCGGCAGGGCGTCATTTCTAAAATACAGGGTGTTGAAATTTAAACAACCTCCTTTCATATCATCTAAAGGGCTAATGCTAGGCTGTTCAAATTTTCAGGTATTATTGATGTAGGAATTATATTTAAAAAGTCGTATAATGCACCCCCATTTTCTACCTGGAACCATTTCAAATAAAATAAATTAAAAAAAAATTTGAAAAAAAAAGCAATTTGTTTTAAATTTTTTTTTTGGGTGGTTCCAGGTAGAAAATGGGGGTGCATTATACGAATTTTTTAATATCATTCCTACATCAATAATCCATGAAAATTTGAACAGCCTAGGAGTGCGTTCGAAGTCACCCTGGGCGTCACACCGAGTGCACACCAGCCATGAATAATTCATGGCTGGTGTGCACTGGGTGTCACGACTAGGGCGATTTCGAACGCACTCCTGCATTAGCCCTCCAAATGATTATGAAAGGGGGTTGTTTAAATTTCAACACCTTGCATTTTGGAAACGACGCACTTCCGACCATCGCTGTCCCATCTCAAATTACTTCTCTATGGTTCCTCTATATACCCTAGCATTTTTAACCAGTTGAACGGGGACACCCTGTATTTAACCTATTTGAAGAATGATTTAACACAATCATAGGCGCAACTAGGGGGGTACTTGGGGGTGTTAAGCACCCCCAAAACACAAATTAGCACCCCCATTCCGCATTCCACCATAGCACTACCTAACATTAATATAAAAAATTAGTACAACCAAACTATTTATTTTTTTGTACTTCTTGTACTTACCTAATTACGTTATCGATGACGTCATAACTTAGAAAAAAAGATTTGTCGTTGAATAATTCATAGAGCACGTTCGGAACTATTATTGTTTTGTAATCAAATTTTCAACAGAAGTCCGAAAATATATAAAATAATTAACTGCGTATTATACAGGGTGTTCCTGAATATCATGTACAAACGAAAAGGGGTGATTCTTTGTTAGTTTTTTTTTATTTATGACTGAAATTTCGTTACAGGGTGTTGAAGCAATATTTTTTTAGTTTATTCTTTATAGCTCCTGATGCAATTTTTGAGATATTTAGCTCAAATTGATTGCACATCCCAAACGGTTGCCAGAAAGAAAAGATAATCCAAATAAAGCCATAGCCTACAAGAACATTTATAAAAAAAATAATTTCATCTAGCTAATTACAGAGAATTGTTTTTTATTTTATTTTTTCTCGATAAGGGTCGGTGATACAAAAAACTACAAGAGAACAAAAAGTTTCTAAATAAGGTAGAAAAAAGTATCACCCTGTAGATTTTGGCAAACGTTTGCCATGTGCATTCATTTAGCTTCTATTGCGTAACCTATATACCAAATTTCAGCTAAATCCCTGAAAATTTGCATGAGCTATAAAGAAAAAACTAAAAAAATTTTGAAGTTTCAACACCCTGTAGAGCGGTAGAGTAGAAATCAAACGAGAAGAAGCCACACGGGTTATCGTTTGTCTCACTTTAAATGGTAGGGACGCAAAGAAAAGGAAATCTGCTTTCTTTGTCAGCGCTGATGACAGTGGCTTCTTCTCGTTTGATTTTTACTCTAACGCAGCGTTTGCGGACCTAAAGTTTGTTTCACGAGGGTTTGTACTAACGTCATCATTTGCCTTCCTTTTAAAACCAGGGACCGTATTCTCGTAATCGGGGAACAGCGTTCTCAAGAGAACGATTGCTCTGTCTTTGTCAGTATTATGAAAATAACAATATGGGCGACTGAGACAGAGCAAATGTTCTTTTGGGAACACTGTTCCCCGGTTACGAGAATACGGGCCCAAGTCATTCAAAACAATTGATTGTGTCAAAAGTCAAAACACGCCTAAATTAAAATAAATCTTTTCTTTGGGATTAAAATTACTATTTCGGTCTCGCTGTATACAGGGTGATTTACGTAGCCCATGCATCAGCTTGCAGGTG